GATGTAGGAGGGGAGATCAAGCAAAGGCTGGGGGCGGGGGGGTGGGGTGGGGGGGGACTGACAGAAGGGAGAGTGGATCAGGGGAGGTAATAGACAGAAGCAAAACACTGGTGAAAAAGGAAAGGGTGAAAGGAGAGAAAGGACAGACAGGAGGAAGAATAGGATGGAGGGAAATACACAGGTAGTTAATCATTACTGTAATGTGAATGGGATGAACTCTCTCATAATATGGAAGCAGACATCACAGTGGATCAAAAATCAGAATCCTACAATATGTTTACAAGAAACAAACTTGGAGCAGAGACACACATACAGAGTAAAGGTAATGGGCTGGAGCAGAATCTATTATGCCTCAGCTGAAGTTAAAAAAAAAAAAAGCAGGGATAGTAATCCTCATTTCGCACAACGTAAAAGCAAAAATAGACCTAATTAAAAAAGATAAGCAAAGAAACTCTATCTACTCTAAAATGTACCATAGACAATGAAGCAGTATCAATACTAAATATATATGCACCAAATGGTAAAGCATCTAAATTCTTAAAGGAGAAGTTTAGTGAGTTACAGGAAGAAATACACAGCAAAACTATACTGGTGGGGGAATTTTAACTGTCCTCTCTCAGAACTCGAAAAATTCAACCAAAAAGTAAATAAGAAAGAAACTAAGGAAGTAAAAAGAAAATAAAGAAAGTTAGATATGACTGACCTTTGGCATGATTTAGACATAAAGGGTGACACCATAAGCAAATTAGAAGAGCAAGAAATAGTCTTATCTGTTAGATATATGGGGAGGTGAAGAATTCATGACTAAATGAGATAGAGAGCATTACAAAAAATGAAATAGATAATTCTGATTCTATTAAATAAAAAAGCTTTTGTAAAACAAAACCAATGCAACCAAGATTAGAAGGAATGCAGAAGACTTTATCTTTATACCAAAATCTGCATACAAAGTATCTCTGATAAAGGCCTCATTTCTCAACTATCTAGAGAAAGGAGTCAAATTTATAAGAATACAAGCCAAATGGCCTAATTGATAAATGGTCAAAGAATATGAACAGGCAGTTTTCACATGAAGAAATCAAAACTATCTAAAGTCACATGAAAAAATGCTCTAAATCACTATTGATTAGAGAAACGCAAATTAAAAACAACTATGAGGTACCACCTCATGCCTATCAGATTGACTAATATGACAAAAACGGAAAATGTTGGATGTTGGAGAACTGGGACACTGATGCACTGTTGGTAGAGTTGTGAACTGATCCAATCATTATGTAAAGCAATTTGGAGCTATGCCCAAAGGACAACCAAACTGTGCATTACCTTTTTATCTAGGAATACCACTACTAGGTCTGTATCCCAAAGAGATCATAAAAAAGGGAAAAGGACCAAACATGTGCAAAAATATTTAGCAGCTCTTTTTGTGATGGCAAAATATTGGAAATGGAGAGGATGCCTATCAACTATGGAATGGCTGAACAAGCTATGGTATATGAATGCAATGAAACACAATTGTGCAAAAAGAAATGGTGAACAGGCAGATTTCAGAAAAACCTGAAAAGACTCCTATGAACTGATGCAAAGTAAAATGAGCAGAAGCAGGAAAACATTATACACATTACCAGCAACATTTTGTGATAAATGACTCAGCTCCTCTTAGCAACTGAGCAAAGACAAGCACAAAGGACTCATGAGGAAATGCTATCCATATCCAGATAAAGAACTAATGGACTCTAAATGCAGATTAAAGCATATTTTTTCACTTACTTTATTCCTTTTTTTGTGTTTTTTTTCCTTTTGATCTGTTTCTTCTTTCACAACTGTGACTAATATGGAAATATTTTTAAATGATAGCACATGTATAAACTATATCAAACTGTCTACCATTTTCAGAAGAGGGGAGGGAGAAAAATTTAAAAGTCAAAATTTTGTAAAAATGAATGCTAAAAATTTTCTTGACATGTACCTGGGGGAAAAATACTACTAAATTTAAAAAAAGAGCTTAGATATCATGTCAAGAAATTATAAAAGAAAACTGACCAGCTGTGTTAGAATCAGAGGACATAGAAGAATGTCAAAGAACCCACTGATCACCTCATGAAAGAGATCCCAAAATGAAAACCCCCAGAAATATTACAGCCAAATTCCAAATACTGAAACCAGACAGAAAGAAAACATTTAAATATCGTGGAGTCATAGTCAGGATCACACAAGATCTAGTAGTTACCATTTAAAGGAGGGGAAAACTTGGAATATAATATTCCAGAAGGCAAAGTAACTGGAATTACAACAAAGAATAACCTATCCAGCAAAACTTAGTATAACCCCTCAATGGAAAAAAATTTGACATTAAATGAAATAGAAGACTTTCAGGAATTTCTGATGAAAAGATCAGAACTAAACAGAATGCTGGATATTCAAAGAGAAGACTTGAGAAGCATAAAAATGTAAATATGAAAGAGAAATCATGAGGGAATTAATAAAGACTAACTGCTTACATTCCTGTGTGGGAAGATGATACATGTAACTCCTAAGAACTTTCATGAGTAGGACAGTCAGAAGGAGTATATAAAGATAAAGCACATGGGCGTGAATCAATAATAATGAGATGATCTCAAAAAAAAATGGAGGGCAAGGAAGAGGAATTCTCACTGGAAGAATGGGGAAGGGAGAGGAAAAAAGGGGGATATTATTTCATATAAAAGAAGCATGTAAAGAAGAATTTTTACATTGGACGAGAAAATGGGGGTTGAGGGGAAGAGACAAGGCTTGAACCTCACTATAATCTGAACTGGTTCAAAGAGGGAAGAACATATACATACACGCATGCATGCAAGAGTGCAATCTCTCTCTCTCTCTCTCTCTCTCTCTCTCACACACACACACACACACACACACACACACACACAGAGTAGTAGAATAAACTATTTTCCCCAACAGGGAAGTAGAAGAAGGAAATGATAATGGGTTAAGTGAAAAGGTAGGGGAAAGGGGAAGAATAAGAGGCAAGGCAGATTATGGAAGGAAAAGGTCATGTGTGTAACAAATTTTGAAGACAGAGTAAAAACAGAGAGAGAGAAGGATAAAAAAGTTAGTAATAACAACTATGAATGCAAATGACATGAATTCACCTATAAAACGGAAATAGGCAGCAGAATGGCTTAGAAACCAGATTTCCAACAATATACTGTTTACAAGAAACACACCTGATACAGAAAGACACACAGAATTAAAATAAGGAGCTGGAATAGAATCTCTTATAATTGAGTTTAAATAAAAATGGAAAGTTAGCAATCATGGTCTCAGAGCAAAAGCAAAAATAAAACATTAAAAAAGAAAATCAGGGAAACTACATTTTATTAAAAAAAGTACTATAGACAATGAAGTAGTATCGTCACTAAACAAATATGCATCAAATGGTATAGCATCCAATTCCTTAAAGGAAAAGTTAAAACGAATTACTAGAGGGAAATACTAAAACTATGCTAGTGAAGGACCTCAACTTTACCCTCTCAGAACTAAATGAATCTAACCATAAAATGAATAAGAAAGAAGTTAAGGAAATGAATACAATTAGAGAAAACTTAGATATGATAGACACTAGAGGTAACAGGGAACAGAAAGGAGTATACCTTTTTCTCAGTTGTACATGGCAAGTTCAAAACACTAATCATGTATTAGGGTGTAAAAATTTCACAAAAAAAATACAGAAAAGCAGAAATTATTAAATGTACACTTTTCAGTACATAATATATTAAAAATTACATTCAATAAAGGGCCTTGGAGACACAGATTAAAAATTATTTGGAACAAAATAATCTAATGTTAAATAATGAGTAGGTAGAAAAACAAATCATAGAAGCAATCATTAATTCCATTACAGGTAATAACAATGAGACATCATGAATGTCTCATTTAATGCAATCAAAATGGATAATTTTGATTGCATTAAATTAAAAAGCTTTTACACACAAAAAAGCAAGGCAGTCAAAATTAGAAGGAAGTAGTAAACCGAGAACAACTTTTTACAGCAAGTTTTTCTGATTAAGGTCTAATTTCTCAACTATAGAGAGAACTAAGTCAAAGTCATAAAAATCTGATTCATTCCCCAATTGATAAATGGTCAAAGATATGAATAGGCAGTTTTCAGATGAAGAAATCAAAGCTATCTATAGCCATAATGAGAAAATGCTCTAAATCACTACTGATTTGAGAAAAGCAAATTAAAACATCTGAGGCATCACCTCACACCCACCAGATGGGCTAACATGATGGAAAAGGAAAATGATAAATGTTGGAGGGGGATATGGAAAAATGAGGACACTAATGAACTGCTTGTGGAACCGTGAAGTGATCCAATCATTCTGAAGAACAATTTGGAACTATGCCCAAAGGGCTATAAAACTTTGCATACCCTTTGACCCAGCAAAAAGAAAAGGACTTATACATACAAAATTATTTGTAGCCACTCTTTTTATGGATGCAAAGAACTGGAAATTAAAAAGATGTCCATAATTTGGGGAGTGACTGAACAAGCTGTGATATATAATTGTGATGGAATACTATATGAAATGATGAGGGAGATGGTTTTAAAAAAAATTGGGGAAGACATATGAACTGATGCAAAGTGAAGTGAGCAGAACCAAAAGAACATGGAACACAATAGCAGCAATATTGTAAAATGATCAACTGTGAAAGACTTAGCTACTCTAATCAATACAATGATCCAAGACAATTCCAAACGACTCATAATGAAATATGCTATCTACCTCTAGAGAGAATTGATGAACTCAAGCATTTTTCACTTTCTTTCTTTTTTTTTGCTTTTTTGTGTAAACTTGGCTAATACAGAAACATGTTTTGCTTGACTTCCCATGTATAATAGCTAACATGTAGCTTGCCTTCTCAATGTGTGGGGGAGGGGCAGGTAAGGGGGGAAAATTTGGAACTCAAAAATTTTTTAAAATAAAAATAAGATAAAATTTAAAAAATCAGAATACCTTTCTCAAAAAGCACATGCAAAACTTTACAGCCAAACCTTTGGATCTCTTCATTACTAGGAAATGTACGCATGGCATCAAAAATTAATGTGAATACATCACTGCAATCTTCTTCCAATATCTGCAAAGTCATCAAATCTATGTAAGGAAAACAAAAATTAATAGTTCTTTTGGTACTCAGAAGATCCAAAGTTCTTACATGATAGTCATGTATCTGGACTTTTTTTTTTGGTAAGCTACTTAGTTTACTCAAAAGTCATCATGGTCAAGTTCATATAAAAGACAAATGAAAGAATTCATCAAGTGACTTAAAGATAATCTCTGAAATGACTTTAATACACACTGAAACTTTTCTAATCTCAAAAACTACATGAAAAAATAGTACTTTTAAACAAAAATTTAAAAAGTCATAACATGATACAAATACTGCTGATTTCTATACACATTGATGAGATTTCTTTCAATTCTTATTCTTATTTATTGCCAATTTAAGAATGCAAATGTTTCAAATTAAAAACACTGAAAAAAGGATGTGATTAAAATAAAACACAGATAAGAAGGTCCAATACAGTCTCACCAATTTTTTTCTATGGGAAAAAGGATTATATGTATTCTCAAAATGTCAGCCCTTTAATTTGATCCTCTGAATATCAATTTATCATTTTCTTTTAAAAATGTCCTTTCTTATCCTTTGACCCAGCAATAGCACTTCAAGGGCTACATCCCAAAGAGATCATACAATGGGAAAAAGACCTGTATGTACAAAAATATTTATAGCAGCTCTTTTTGTGATGGCAAAGAACTGGAAATTGAGAGGATGCCCATCAATTGGGGAATGACCGAACAAGTCGTGGTATATAAATGTAATGGAATGCTATCATGCTATAAGAAATGATAAACAGGCAGACTTCAGAAAAACCTGGAAAGACTTTTATTGTCTGATGCTGAGTGAAGTGAGCAGAACTAGGAGAACACTGTACATAGTAACAGCCACGTTGTACAATGACTAACATTGATAGATTTAACCCTTCTCAGTGACACAATGATCTAAGACATGCCTCACAATAGAAAATGCTATCCACATCCAAAGAAAGAACTATGGAGTTTGAATGCAGATCGAAGCATACTATTTGCTATTTTTTTTCTTCTGTTGTGTTTTGTTTCCTTTTTCTGGTGGTTCCTCCTATTGGTTCTAATTCTTCCTTACAACATCACGAATGTGAAAATGTTTAATAGGAATGTATATATATATATGGTCTATATCAGATTGCATGCCATCTTGGGGAGGGAGGTACAGAAGGACAGGGAGAAAAATTTAAAACTCAAAAGTTTATGGAAGTGATTGTTGATAAATCAAAATAAATTAATTTTTGAAAAATAATTTTTATTTAAAAAAATGTTCTTTCTTCAGTTCACTTCTCCTTTTTTCAACTTCTTTTCTTTTTAATCCTTTCTTAAGAAAGAAAAATAAAACAACAGGATGCTAGAGTAAAAGCCGTGATCAACGAGATTAATGCCACTGAATTAATGAGAAAAGAGGAAAACCAACCAACATGTAAGACCAATAATAGATTTTTCCTTGTTATGGGATTTGGAAACCTAAAATTCAAATTTCACGAGTAATTTTGTTATGATTCCTAGTAAAATATAAAAAAAAGTTAAAATACATTAATAAACAGTTTGACCTTTTAAATTTAAATACCTGAAGTCAGCAGCTGATCTAATGCCTTCAGTCCAATCACTGAAAGGTTTATATTAGCATTGTGAACAGTGAGCATTTTAAGAATCAGCCTGAAAAAGAGATCAGAAATAAGATCAACATCTCAATGGTATGTCAGTTTATTTTTCAATGTCACATTCACATTTTCTCTTTCTGATTTTCTTTATTCAATGCATTTGAAAATTAATCTATAATTAATTAATGTAAAGTCTTATTTACACGAACAAATAAAAGGGATTTTGTTACTGATAATCAAAACCCACAATCTGTCCAGTAGGATCTGTTCCCAAGACAGTGCAAAGTTATCTTGCCTAGGCTGATCAGATTGGTGAAGTTTCTCTACCAACAGAGTAAAACAATGGCTCCAACACAAAAGGGAAATCAAACAGCTACATGGTGGTAGCAAGATGTTTGGTATATAAAGATAATGAGATGCTGATTAATTTGTAATCAACTTAATAAAAAAAAGTGAGTAAAATCTAACTTCTTTAACACTTCCGCTTAAGATTTTAAGTTAACACCTATTGAATGTAATGCTCACTATGCCCTAGGTCTCATAGGTACTCACAAAGCAGAAAATAAGACACATAGAAAAAGGAGATTTAAAAAAAAAATACACCTTTATTAAGCTAAAATTCCTTTTTTAAATAATATTTGCCACTCTATTTAAGTGGATGTAATAAAATATATCAAATACAAGAGTATTATAATGACTTGGAGGGTTTTTCTATATATGTTCTTAGGTTTTTAATTAACAGGACTATGTGGAAAACTTGTTTTATTGGCAGAAACTGAAAATGTTCTATTTTTAAAATAAAGCAATGACATCCACTGTAATTAAAATAAAATCAGATTTTGGAATTTTGTTTCCTGATTTATCATTTTTTAATGCAATTAAACTCAGTTCACTTCTCCTTTTTTCAGCTTCTTTTCTTTTTAATCCTTTCTTAAGAAACAAAAATAAAAAAACAGGACTCTAGAGTAAAAGCCCAGATCAACAAGATTAATGCCACTGAATTAATGAGAAAAGAGGAAAACCAACCAACATGTAAGACCAATAATAGATTTTTCCTTGTCATGGGATTTGGAAACCTAAAATTCAAATTTCATGAGTAATTTTGTTATGATCTGGGAATAGAACAGAGCACAAACAAGGAAAATAGAGACAACACTTCGTCCCAGATCACAGCACCTTAGAAACACTGAAAACTTGCAGACCTCAAGAACTAGCTCTAAAAACAGCAGCAATGACTCCCCAACCCCAGGTGAGCGGAAGCAAACTTTAAGATAAAGTTCAAGGTCAAGAAATAGGTTGGAAAAGCAAACAATAACAACAAAAAAGAATCTAACCATGAAAAAAGCTATTAGGGTGGCAGGGAAGACCAAGACATAAACTCAGAATAAGACAACAAAAAGAAAACAGCTATAAGTAAAAGTCTCAAAAAAAAAAATGCTAATTGAACCCATGCCCAACAAGAATTCAAGGAAGAGTTAAAAAGTAAGAGTGATACATGAAAAATCAGGAAAAGGAACGAGAATGATGCAAGAAAATTATGAAAAGAGAATTAACAACCTGGTAAAAGAAGCGTGCGTGCGCGCGCACACACACACACACACACACACACACACAAAGAATGAAGAAAAGATACACCTTAAAAAATAGAAAAGGTCAAATGGTAAAAGAATCTCAAAAATTCACTGAAGAAAAGAATGCCTTAAAAAGCAAAACTAGCCAAAAGGAAAAAGAGATACAAAAGTTCACTGAAGAAAATAATTTGTTGAAAATTAGAATTGGGCAAGTGTAAGCTTATGATTCCATGAGACATCAAGAAACAATAAAACAAAGTCAAAAGAATGGAAAAAATAGAAGGAAATGTGAACTATCTCATTGGAAAAACAACTGACCTGGAAAATAAAATTGAGGAGAGATAATTCAAGAATTATTATACTACCTGAAAATCATGATCAAAAAGGGAGCATAGCTATCATCTTTCAAGAAATTATCAAGGGGACTTCTGGTAGCCAAGATGGTGGAGTAAGTATTAAATCACTGTAACTCTCCCATATTTACCTCCAAACAACCATCAAATGTCTTGGAACCACAGGGCAAAATTGGCATTGAAAGATTCCACCGATCACCTCAGGAACAAGATTCCAATATAAAAACTCCAAGAAACATTACAGCAAATTAGAGAACTATCGGGTCAAGGAAAATATACTGCAGGTTGCCAGAAAGAAAAAAAAATTCAAATATCAGGGAGCCGCAATCAAGATTACAAAGGAGTTAGCAGCTGCAACATTAAAGAATCAGCAATCATGGAACATGATATTCCAGAAGGCAAAGGAGCTAGGACTGCAACCAAGAATCATTTACCTGGCAAACTAAGCATAATACCTCAAGGGAAAAAACGGTCATTCGATGAAATAGAAGGATTTCAAGCTTTCATAAAAAGACCAGAATTAACCCAAAAATTTGATCTCCAATATCAAGACTCAAGAGAAGCATAAACATGGAAAAGAAAAGAAGGGATTCAATGGAGTTGAACTGTTTGCATTCCTACATGGGAAGATGATTCTTGTAATTCTTAAAAATTGGACCACTAATAGTAAAACTAGAAGGAATATAGATGTAAAAGGTGAATTTGAGGGAATGACATAAAAAAATAATTAAGGGATAAGAAAGAGGCATATACTGGGTGTAGAGGAAAGGGAGAGGTAGAATAGGGTAAATTATTTCACATGGAGAGGCATGAAAAAATCTATTACAGTGGAGAGGAAGATGGGTGGATGGGCAACAAGCAATGCTTGACCCTTACTCTCATCAGTATTGGCTCAAAGAGGGAATAATATACACGATCAACTGAATACAGAAATCTATCTTACTTGACAGGAAAGTAGGAAGGGAGCTGATTAAGCAAGTGGGGACTGTGGGGGGGGAGGGGAAACTGACAGAAGAGAAGGTAGACTGGAGGAGACAGCAGACAGAAGTAAAATACTGGTGAGGAGGGAAAAGGTAAAAAAAGAGAGGACAAACAGGAGGAAAATAGGTTGGAAGGATATACAGTTAATAATCATAACTGTGAATGTGAATGTGAATGAGATGAACTTTCTATAAAATGGTAGCAGATAGTAGAGTGGATCAAAAAACCAGAATTCTACAATACGTTGCTTACAAAAAACACACAGTTCTAGCACAGAGACACACACAGAGTAAAGATAAGGGGCTGGAGCAGAATCATCCCTTATGGAGGCTTGAAATCCTTCTATTTCATTGAATGATCTTAACCCAATAGTTCTGTAATTTGGCTATAATGTTCCTTGAAGTTTATATTTTGGGATCTCTTTCCTGAAGTGATCAGTAGATTCTTTCAATGCCTATTTTGCCCTCTGGATCTAGGATATCAAGCCATTTTTTCCTTGATAATTTCTTGAAAGATGCTCTCCAGGTCCTGCTTTTAATTATGGCTTTCAGGTAGTCCAATGATACTGGCATTGTCTCTCCTGGATTTATTTCCCAGGTCAGTTATTTTTCCAATGAGATATTTTACATTTCCTTCTATTTTTTTTTTCATTCCTCTGAAATTGTTTGATTGATTCTTGATGTCTCATAGAGTCATAAGCTTCCACTTGCCCTATTCTAAATTGTAAGGAGTGGTTTTCCTCAGTTAGCTTCTGTACTTGCTTTTCCATCTGGCCAAGTGTATTTTGAAGGAGTTGTTGTCTTCAGTGGATTTTTGTATCTCCTTTTCCATTTGGCCAAATCTCCTTTTTAAATAGTTGTTTTCTTTGCAAGCTGTTGATTCTTTTTTCATAATTCTCTTGCACCACTGTCATTTCTTTTCCCAATTTTTCTTCTACCTCTCTTATATGATACTTAAGCTCCTTTTTGAGTTCTTCCATGAGTTCTTTCTGGCCTTGAAATCTCTTCAATTTTTCTTTGGGGTTTTACTGATAGGTGTTTAGACATTCTTGTACTCTTCTGAGTTTATTTTGATATTCCCTATCACCATAATAACTTCCTATGGTTAGATTATTTTTTTTGTTGTTGTTGTTGCTTTTGGCTCATCTTTTTGGGCCTTTTTCCTTTCTTTTAAATTTAAGCTCTGTTCCCAGGGTGGAAAGGGCACTGTCTCAGGCATGCATCAGTAACTGCAGGCCCTGGCTGTTTACCTGGAGCTGCACTGATGTTGCCCTAAGGTCCATGGGGGACTTAAGGGTCTGGTGATGTGCTGAGGGGATGGGATGGCGAGTGGCTGGTTCTGCTGGAGGCCAAAGGGGTCTGCCAGCTTACCTGGTACTGAGCCAGGCTTCTAGTGCCAGTGTCTGGTATGTGTAGAGACCATTAAGGATCTGCATTTCCCCAGGGATATACTGATACATGTGGTGGTCTGGCCACTGGCAACTGACTGTTAGACCAGGGCTATACTGAAGCACATGATGGAGGCCTGGTGCTGGCAGCTGTCTGTTTGCCTAGGCACCTACAGGGCTGTCCTCTACCTGTTTCCTCAGGGCTATATTTAAGCACATGATGGCTCTCAGAGCTGGAGTCTGCCCATTTCCCTGGCCAGGCTGAGGCACATGGAATGTCCTGGTTTTGGTGTTTGCCTGCTCCCTCACACCATTGCTCAGGATCTACTGCTGGTTTGATGAAGTGGGGATTGCTGCTAGCATGCTGGGACACTTCCTGTCCTGGACTGCATTCCCCTTTTACCCAAGTGAGAGACACTTTTCCTGCCAATCTTCCAAGTTTCTTGTGCTCAAAGTTTGTTTCACCCCATCTCTTTGCTGGTCCTACTGTTCCAGGATTTATTTTGGAATGCTATTTCATGTTTGTTTGGAGGTGATTTTTGGAGAGTTATGGCGAATTACTTCTTACTCCACCATATAGGCTCCTGGACGTTCTATCTGTGTCTTAAGTAAGTTTTTCAGAGAATGAACTTAAAACAGTCATCCTGTTCATGGGAATTGGGATCTAGAGGTTCTTATGAATAGTTAACGATAATTATTTCTCCTTGATTCAAAATACTTAGAAACCTATTCAAGCACTCCTGTTTCTGTGTTTGTTATTTTC